TACTTAATGGATCACGGATTGAATCTTTCACTTACGATTAGTTGATTGCATAGGTAAATGTGTGCATTTATATTAACTGAATCTTTTGAATTTCTGAATTTTCTGAATCTTTTGAATAAGTGGGTAATTTGCGAAGCTTTTACGAATATGTTTTCTACAGACATATGTGTTTGAGTTTGTACAGCTCCGAATAAGCTCCGCTCATTGTTAAACAAGAGCTCATGCTCATTGTCGTGTTTAGTTTCACGTTTACAGGAAACTAAAACGTGTCTGTTTGCGCTTGTCCAACCCATGAAATGTTCACGGAATTACTCAATAGTTGAGCCATTTTGTGATATTTCTAACGAATTTTGCACACAAAATTAAACTTCTTCGGCGAAGACGTCACGCGCATAGAATTTTACCAATCGAGTTTTTTGATCGGAATCTTAGAGCTGAACTCTTCCCATTTAAGAAAAACAATGTAAATGTTCCATACATTGGAATACTTCAAATCCGAGAGGTGGAATTGATTGAAATCGTTCTGCTCAAGAGATTCTAAAGCCCAATTAAATCACCTCAAAATTTGTATACAATTAAGAGTTCGCTTAATACAGGAAGCGATCATGTATTGAGCGAACTCTCGATTTGTGCATTGAACTCTCAATCTTCACTGACTGATCTACGATACTGATCTACGATACTCTGTTTTCGCAATTCAGACTTCGTTAAACTCATGACTCAAGCGCATTTTATTAGCAACAACACAAAAGTAAAACCAATCACATAAAAGAACATTTAAATTGAAAATATTGACGTGACGCTGAGCGAATTTGAGTGACACAAAACCATTGAAATACGCTGAAAAGTTGTGTGTTGGTGTCAGAATAATTTCGCAGTTGTTTATCCAAGTGAAAATGCACTTTCTGAATGAAAACAGTTATTTTCGAATTGTATTTTTGAAACTGCATAACAACAATGAAACTTTCTTCTGATGGAATCTATTCATTGGTCGCTTTGTTCGCAACATGTCTATAGATATATAATACTTTGACGAACATTAAATTCATCCCTCACAACTTTCAGCGATACCCTATTTCAATAGCATCGCCTCGGTCAGCATTAAACCCTATTTAATATCGTGCGGCATTTTGAGATGATGTTCAGACTACTGCTCCTTGTTTCATTAGTACTTCTGGTGGGTTGCGCCACATCTCGAACCATTCAACGTGAGCCAACTGCGTATGGGTCTAATTCTGCTCGGAATCGCTATGTTCGACTTGTCAGATACCCAAGCACCGAGATGTTCCCAGCTCAACGCACGTTTCCATCTGCCCAAATGTTTCCAGCGTATCCAGCGTACGGTTGATGGTCAGTTATATGTCTAATTAACACTGAGAATATGTCATTTTCGAAGAAAACCGATCAGATGTGGACTGAATTAGTAAGAATGTTATGGAAGAATATAGGAGAATTGCTCCTAACTCGTGATATTTCACGTTATCATCATTTCTTCAGTCTGAACAAACTGATCAGTTTGAATTACATGTACAAATATCTTCCTCATCAACATAAAATTGCTCACATCAACTTCATTGCGTACATGAAGTAAGCAATGGATGTAAACAACTCAAGGCATTTGTAAGAGCTGGCTGGCTTGATGAAATTACAGTACTTTATCGGGATATGATCGCTCAGTTCTGTTCAGGTCGCATACCTACCTCAACAGATGCACGATTCTACCGCAGTTCTACTGAACCGTTAGAAGAAGATAACAACGTGGCGATTCATTTTAACAATTCTTTTGTTGTTTATATTATGTTTGTTGTCCAATAAACTTTCATTTTATTCACAATGGCTCTGGCTGATTTACAGTGTTTCGGTGACATTTTTTGTTCATTCAAACAATACTTCAGGTGATTGCGTTAGTGTTCGCATGTGATGATACTTTTTCCGTCATCCATCCGTTACTCACTCATTGAATACTGATATGACGAAGAAATGATCACACGATTTCTGTATGAGATGAATGTTGCACGCAATAGCGATTTATGTTCACGACTATTGTTACGACTATTGTTTTTCATTCAAATTTCTCGGAAATCTTCGGTTTTTCGGTTAGATCGGAAATCAGCGTAGTTCATGAACAGTCAATATTTACACAATGGAACATATCGATTGCATTCAAACATTTAGAAAATCACTGGGATTAATAAGTTTATTAAGAAGCATTCCTGATGTTCGATCACCTATAGATCACTAATAAGTTCGATATTGTACAAATGGATTGAAAGACTTTCGCAACATACATAAACAATTACTTACGTATTACACAAATGGAACTGATCACAAAAGAGCAACGATTAGATATCAAAGAAACAAACGCATTATGGAACTAATACCAGTTTTGAAGAGGGCGACAACTTTGAAGAAGCGTTCATTACATAAGTTTGAATATACATCTCAATGAAATTGCAAACTGATTTCACCAACCTAATAAATGCATTTTGATCATGACGTATGCGTGATAAATGCAACTTTTTGTTCCGAATGAGGAATTTCAGAGATTATCCCTAAGGGTTCTAAGCTATTAATCGATGAATCGGATCGATAAACTGTCACATGAATGATCAGAAAATTGACTGATGAAATTGTTGCTATCAGTGAACTAATAACAACTTCAATAATTCCCAACAATCCATTTTTTGAGAAAGAATTAGGGATCGGAAAAAATGAATCGTTGAAAGATTTTTGGCTCACATAAGACCTTAGATATAAAGTTTTGAAGCTAACCAGAGCTTTAGGAGTGATAATACAAATTTGCAAAAACATCACAAACATTCTTGGAAAGTTGTTAGAATGAAATTTGGTGATAGACTGAGACAGAGCTTCATCTGAGAAGAGCGATACTACACACATGTAGGAGTTTCATGCTCAATCCTCTTTGTTGGGAACTTTCGGTTTTCCGGCTTCAATTTTCAAATCGAGTAACTGTTGAAGTTGTTCATCC